CCTGATCTTGGTTGCATATAGCATATAACAAGAGAGATGCACCAGCGCTCCAAGTATCCATTTATCACACGCAATGCGCCACACCCACCGCCAACAGGCTCTCCTTCTCCTCGCGGCATGCCAGACAAGCTCCACATCCACAACCCATACACATGATTGCCGTAGAGCCGACTAGGTATGGTGGCCTTAGCCTGCGAAAAACCCTAACTCTAGCGCCAACAACTTCGGCCACTCCGCACTAGGTCACTTAGCGACGCGCCGCTGCTAGTGCCTCCCCTGGCGGCGCAGTGCTAACGCGCCAGTTACTGCAGCGCTAACGCGCCGCCCCTTTCGTGGAGGTTGGGTCCACAAACGTCCAATTGAAGACAAAAGAAAAAGTTCAAAAAAAACAAACCAAAGGGATGTATCTTTGTCAAAGATAAAAAAAAACGAAATAGCAATGTCTTTCCATGTAATGGCGGAGGAATCAGCAGTTTTTCGTTCCATGTAATGGTGGAGGAATCAGCAGTTTCCTTTCCATGCAATGGTGGAGGAATCAACAGTTTTCCTTCACAATAGCCTCCGTACAGGCAGACCCCCCCGCGAGAACATGGAAAGATACACTGCCATTTGTTTTTTTTTTTGTTTGTTTTTTTTTACTTCTTTTGTTATTCTCAGAATCACACCAGCGGTTTAGTGTGCTTTCTGCGCAGCAGCGTTCTGTACATCCCTACACTGCGGACGTCAGTTCCGTGCGGATGCAGGTGTGGCAACTGGCCCATAGTGCCACGTGGCACGACAAGGACTCGGGGCAAGAGGTTGTTCGAGAGGCGAAGCAGGGACGATGAGGAGGCGGAAGGAGTTGCCCGCATCGGCAGAGGAGGCACAAGAAACGGAAAAAAAAAAAAAGAAAAAAAAAGAAGAAAAAAAAAAGTCAGTTTCGAATTTCAGAGGGAAAAAGAGGTCGCACAGAAAATCCCGAGGCCTACATTGTATTCCAAACAAATTGTGGTACCGGTACCACAAACACATCCCCGCCACCGGTACCCACTAGTAGCAGCTTCGGAAAAAACTGGCGTGCAGGGAGCGCGTTGGTTCAAGAAATCAGGCCCGGGTGTACTGCTGGTTTAAGATGTGCAATTCCGCGGACTAGACCATAGAGTATAGCAGACATATGCAGACATACACCAGTACCTCACCCAGCAAAGAAATCCCAACGCGGCCGTTTAACGCGCCGCACCCAACGGGGGTCAAGGAGTGGAACGCCCGGTCTATCCCCAATGCACAGGCAGAAACAGCCTGGAAAAAAAAATAATAATAATAAAAAATCAAAGGAAAAAACCGGTTCTTTTTGTCTTCTGGGAACGAATGGCGCGGGGAACGAGAGAGAGAGAGAGAGAGAGAGAGAGAGAGAGAGAGAGAGAGAGAGAGAGAGAGAGANAGAGAGAGAGAGAGAGAGAGAGAGAGAGAGAGAGAGAGAGAGAGAGAGAGAGAGAGAGGCGTGTGAAGTGGGAATGAATCTTCCAGCGAGTTGCGGAAGATACATTTTGATTCTGTTTGGAACGAACGGCAGGAAGATTCGGTGTCTACACACCCAGTCTCTCTCAAGAGAACGCGGGAAGATTAATTGTCGACCCACAGTCTCTCTCTCTCTCTCTCTTGTGACCGCACGTTTTTTATTTTCTTATTTCTTCTCTGAATTTAACCTCACACTACCTACCTACCACTACTACTAATTGTAGGCATATGGGGAAACCCTGTAGCAGCCAGAGCCGTGTTCACGAGAGAACATGCGGGGGCTGCTCCCGACCTGCGGGCGGGCGATACCGGCTAGGGGACAGCCAGTAGCATCAGGAACCATGCCAACAGGACCAATCCCTGTGCCTCCCCTTTGTTGGTTTTCTATTTTCTGTTTTGAGTCTCATTCTTTTTTTTTCTTTCTTTTTCTTTTTGAAAGAAAACTCATGTTGCCGGTAGGTCTAAGGCTCGGCATAGCTGGATGAGGTACTTGTGGTTCAAGAAAACTTCATGCTTCATTGTACCGTACGACTGTGCCCAAAATGGAAAGCTCCAGAAAACGACAAAACACAACAGGGGTGCGGCACCCTCTGGGTTGCCAATAGGCGTTTTCCAAACGCCGTACCCTCAATTCCATAAATTCCGGGCCAAAAAACGAGATTCCAATTTTGTTCAAAAAATATATACATATTGTCCATTTTAACAAAATCGCTGTCCACCCACGGTCGGGCGTTATATTCGAGGGGGCGTTCTATTCAAAGAACCATGAGTAAAAACAAAAATCTGATCTTCTAGGGTAAGTTGAATATACCGCCCGGGCGTTATTTCGGGCGAAGACAGTAGCAACCCCCCCTGGCTCTTAGCGCATGTTCTCACACTGGAATTGCTTCGAATGTATCTGACGTCAACCGCAGCATGCAGAACGGATATATTAAAAAAAAAAAACAAAAAAAAACAGTTCAATACACTTAGGAAAGCGAGTACAATGCCCTTAGTTGTATTCGAATAGAACGCACCCTATGCTACAACGCATAGGCGTTATGTTTGGGGGAAGAAGGTAGCGTGAGTATGCCGTCGCCGTCGTGCCGCGACTCTCCCCCCAGAGGCTCACTGAGCGTCAATGCACATTGGAACTGATTTGGATGTAGCTGATCGCAATTGCAGTATACGGGGAAAGGAAAAAAAAAAAAACTGAATGGCTTCATCGAGTCCATAATTAGGGCCAAATACACTTAGGAAAGTGCTAATGTGAGTACCCCCTCAACACTCGTGCTGCATTTGGATGTAGATGACCGCAATTGCAGTAGACGAGAAAAGGGAAAAAAAACCTGAACCGCTTCATCGAGTCCATAACTAGGGCCAAATACACTTAGGGAAATGCTAGTGTGAGTAACCCCTCATTCCTCGTGCCGCGACCGCCTGCCCCCTCCTCCCGTCCCCCTTACCTAGCTTTAACTCATATTGGAACTGATTCCGATGTATCCGAACGCAATTGCAGCACGCCGCGGAATGGACGGGTGTGTCCCGAAAGGAAAAGGAAAAGAAAAAGAAAAGGAATGCTGACCTTATCTTGCAATAGAATGTGGCGAGCTGTATTAAACCACCAGTGCATGCCCCCAAAAGAGGCAACTGGAGATTATGAACCTGTTTTGAGCCTCTCCAAAAGTTTAGGAGGCCAACCGCCGTAGATTAAATGAATCGACGGAGGGCGGGCAGGCTCCGAAAGGGGCCCACGGCCGATAGCTGGCATGTACTGGTGCTTTACACCACCAGTACCTACCCCATTTTTGGTACCACCCCGCCTCAACGGGCGCACAAACTGGCGGGTACTGGTGGTTTGAAAAAAAAAGGTAGTTCTATGGCAGGAACCATGTCCTTTCTTGAGCACTGGGCCCCTAATGGAAAGTTGCTTCTTTTATGTTCTCTCCCCTCACGGGGGCAAACAAACCCGTCGTGTCCTCAGCACGCTGTGTCCGTTTGGGTCACAACCACCGGACATGCTGTGTCCGTTTGCCACGGTGAAAGTGGGATGTTCAAGCCGGGTCGTTGGCAAAGTTGGGGGACAAAAAACAAAAAACAAGTGAAGCCCGCCAAGGCCGCATTTCAACGCCTAGCCCACATGCGGCAACAGGCCAAATTGGCCAAATAAGGAAAAGACCGCAGAGGTGGCATTTCAGCGACTGGTCCAAATGGGATAACAGATGGGTTCTCACGCTTTGGGGACGAAAAAATGCGGAAAGCCTGCCAAGGCAGCATTTCAACAACTGGGCTTCTTCTTCTTCTTCTTCTTCTTTTTTTTTTTTGCCTGCAGCATTTCAACAACTGGGCTGGCTCGGACGAAGCTGGGAACTTCCACACCTTCGGAAAATAAAATAAAGGTTGTGCAAATTTCCACTGGAGCTCTTTGGGAAAGTCCTCAAAGAGTTCCGGGCTCCACAGCCGTTTCTACATCTGTTGTTCCCTTTGGGGAAATCCAGCTCGTTTTGCTCTAAAATGAAGTTTTTTTTTTGTTTCTTTTTTTGCCAAAATGAAGTTCTCACTTCACCACGATCCTCTGCAGAATTGGAGGTTCTTAACTTAAGACTACGGGCGATCGTATCTTTTCCCAAGAATTCCCAAAAGAAAGGTTCGACGTATCTGGCCACAATTCTGCCTCCATGGAAATGCAAGAGCACCATTTGCCCCTTCTGCAAGGGGCTGTTTTCGTGACCGTCCCGAAAGCCCTGCTAGGTGGAGCCCCACAAATTCTTATGCGAAGAGCGCCGCACTTACCTAGACTTCAGGGGGGAATTCTCAAAGTAAGTCGGTGGAGCCGCAACCCTAATGCGACAACTGGGCCAAATGCAACAACAGATGCGTTTTCACACCTGGGGTAAGAAAACAAGGACACAGCCTACCAGGTGTGAAAACGCATCTGTTGAGAAGCAGAGGGGTGTTGCCTACTTCCCCTGTTCTCCGTCTTTCGAAAAGTCCGACGACGTTCCAAAAACACAGTTCCATTTCACAGCAGAAACTGATTGATGGTCTGTGGACCGCACCCCCAGGACCACACCCAGGACCATCCTTGGACCACACCCAGGACCACACCCAGGACCACACCCAGGGCCAAACCCAGCACCACACCCGGGACCATCCTTGGACCACACCCAGGACCACACCCAGGACCATCCTTGGACCGCACCCAGGACCACACCCAGGACCACACCCAGGACCTTCCTTGGACCTGACATGGCCGAGCCCACGCAGGTTGGAAAGGTGTGTGGCCTTCTTCCCCTGTGTTTCCGTTGTTGGAGACGTCTGAAGAAGTTTGAAAAACCAATTTCATTTCACAGCAGAAATGTAATGATGAGCACGGGACCGCGCCCAGGACCATGGCTGGACCTCGCCTTGCTGGGCCCGCCCAGGTTTGTACCCAGGCAGCCAGAGCCGGTAAGGCCACCCCACAACCCTCCTTTTTTTTTTTTTTTTCCCTACTCCTTTTTCCTCTTAAACCACCAGGTCAGTGGCCCCTGCACTGTTCATTGTTTCTGGCCTACAAGTACCGGGCCAAAATCTACAGTTCCCAGACCCTGTAGAGGTTCGGTGCCAAAGGGTACCAGAACTATTTTTCCTCACAGAGGCACTGTGGATTTTTGGCTCGGGGAAATGCAACATTTAGGTTGTCAAAACAGGAAAAAAAAAAAAAAAAAGGTCCGGATGGAGTGGTGGTTTAAGTTATACAGTGTTTAACACCCATTGGGGACCGTGCTTGAGAAGAAGATAAGAGACGCCATCCGACTGACAGCCTATTGGGTTACAATGAAACAAATGGAACCATGTTGGGGGATTAAAACAAATGGAACCATGTTGGGATTCAAAGGAAGAAAGAAAAAAAAAATCATCACAGGAATACAAGATCAAACCTATTGCCGTCAACCTTTCCGATTGATAAAGAACGAATCCTCTGCCGGAAAGCACAAAACAAACCTCTGCTGAACAAAAGGCTAAAAAAATAAAATAAAAAAAAATCCTCTGCACACATATACCATAACAATACCAGTGACTTTTCCTAATTTCTAGATATCTCGTTCACTACTACACCCTTTTTCCATTACCGTCACTTCCTCTTTCCACCCTTCGATCCAAATTTCCCCCCGCGCCCGAAGCTTTTCATCGGCTTCCCAGATTTGGGCATACCCCCTCCCCCTCTCCCACCACCAACTTTGCCCTTGAAGCCACCTCCGCGTCCTCCTCCTCCTCCCCGCCCTCGGCTGCCTCCATCGTGCCGGCCACCTCCACGCCCACGGCCGCCTCCGCCATGCCGGCCACCTCCACGCCCTCGGCCGCCCCCATCGTGCCGGCCACCTCCGCGCCCTCGCCCGCCTCCACCGTGCCTACCACCTCCGCTCCCTTCTTCGCGGCCCCAGCTGCCTCCATCATGCCTGCCCCGTCCTTTTCCAACAAGCCGTTGCTTTATGATCTTCTTTTGCTTCTCTTTACGAACTTGGTCCGGATTTCGGAGTTCTTCTTTTGGTTTCCAATGCGTCCCGCTGTCTTCGCGCTTTCTTTTCAAGCTGCCGCCGCCGCCGCCGCCGATTCTCCCTCTCCCAAATCCTCTTCCTTCCTCCCCGCTTCTACTGCCTTGACCAACCATGCGCCCCCCTGCATACGAATAAACATTCGAACAAGAAGATATATTAGAAAACAGATGACATTAATTGTCGCAATGTAGGGGTCCCCTGTATAGGTAGCGAAAGAAAGATACGTTCCATGATGACATGGCAGAACTCCAGTTAAAAGATATGTGAGGTGAGAGAAAAATACATGGCTGTCCCCCAATCAGGAGAAGGCAGCTTTAAAAAAATAAGAAAAAAAAAAAAAAAAATTGTCGCAATGTTACTGACGAACCTCGGTCAGTTGGTACACCCATGAACCAATATTGACATGTGGACCTGAGTTCGAAACCGGATGAAACTAGATAATGAGATTCCTGTTCCCTGGTGCAAAGTCCCGTCAATAAAGGCGGTCGCGCTATTAAATAAACAAGTGGACCTCGCGTGGCGACGCCGTGCCCCAGATGCAACCCCGCCCATACACGGCAAGGTGGGACCCGCAGTTTGCAGGCAAGGCGACAGAGGCGGGAACAGACGAAAGAACAAAAAAAATTGGTAGAGTTCCATGACCACCTCCAGCGCACTTAGTGCCAACCGGCGATGACAGTCCGCTAGACATCCCTGATCGGTATTAGTAGGGTCTATGACTAACATGGGCGTGACTGTGAGAGTGAGCGGGTTGTGTGTGGTGTGTGGGAGAGTGTCGACCATAGCCACTGCTGTGACTTGATGGGGGGTGGGTGGAAGTAGATGGGAGGCACGCAGCATTAGAACGGAAGCGCAGCTACTGGCAAAATGCTTGGTCTTTGCGTTAGTGACCCCCCCCCCCCCACCCTCCAACGGTGGCCCCATCCTAGGGGGGTGGGGCCCAACATGCATTCTCTTAATTGTGAGAGGCAGCCATGCTTGCAGGGGTCCCGGCACGGCGACGCCCATAGCCACTGCTGCCACTTGACGGAGGGTGGGGAAAGTAGATGGGAGGCGCATTAGTAGATGGGAGGCGCAGCTACTGGCAAAATGCTTGGTCTTTGCGTAAGCCCCCCCCCCCCCTTCCACCAGNGGGGGGGGGGGGGGGGACCGACACGCATTGTCAGAGGCAGCCATGCTTGCAGGGGTCCCCTGCATACGTTTAGTAGTAGTGGCAGGTAGATAGTGAAAAGGCGAAGTTGAGAGAAGATTATACCTTTTTTTTTTTTTTTTTGAAAAGAAAAAAAATATGGCATTTTTTTTTTTATGTTTCCAAATTCTAGCGGAATATTCAGTCACATTTTGCACATTTTTGAGAGGAGGCCCGCTGCCATTGGGTCGGGTCTGGATTCGAGCTTTCTTCTAGCGGAGGATTCAGTCACATTTTGCACATTTGGAGCGGAGCCAGACCAGACGCCATTGGCTCGCATCTGGATTCTAGGCTTAGGGGTCTCGCTCCGCTATTCGAGACATGCACGAAAGACAAAAATCATGGTGGTGTATCTCTCCATGTTCTGGCAGAAGATTCACTCCCATTTTGCCCAGGCCGAGAGTACTGGAGAGAGGCCCCAGCTTGAGTTGGAGCCCGCTTCTCTTTTTTTTTTTGTCGTTTTCTACATCATCATCTGCTACAGGGCCTCGCGGCAACGCATTCACTCCCATTTCGCACATTGGGAGAGTAGTGTCCCGAGGCCTTGTAGCGGACGATGCAGACAAAAAAAAAACAGACTCCAACTCACCAACGGGCCTTGCTCCTCTACTCTCCAAAAAATAAGAATGAATCCTCCCCTCGAACATGGAAAGATCCACCGCCATAGGATGACAAGAACAAAATAAAAAGTCGCCACTGTGTCCATCTGCGTGCATGTCTTTGTGGGGCGGGGTATGCGCTTGTATTCGAACACGCTGCCAGAAACTTTGCGCGGACGGGACAGCGCCGCGGGCCCGGCAGGGAAAGGTCGTTTTCCCAATAGTGGCGGCCAGGCCTCGCCGCGGGAGCATCACGCGAGACCCGCCTTACACTTTAGGAGTATAGATATAGAAGAAAAAAATAATTTAAAAATGGTTGCAAATTTATGACTTGCTGGAGGGAAAGGGTCTTCTGTTGAGGTTCCCAAAAAAATAACGGAGCCAGAAAAAAAAAAAAAAAAAAAAACCCGAAAGGATGGAGCCATGCCCAAAAGCTCTGACAAAGAAAGGAGAAAACAAAATCCATTATGTGCCATGGATGGTTGTGAAAAGGGCTGGTGAAAAAAAAAAAAAAAGGCTGAAAAAACAAAAAAGCGCTTAAAGGGCCATGGGAGGTATAAAATTGATTTGGGAGTGAAGCTGTATGAAAAACAGTCGCAAGAGGGCCTCCATATGCTTGCTGATCTCTTCTCACCTGCTGATGATGGTCGCTCATCCTCGTTCTCCGTACCCACTGCCGGTATCTTCATCTTTGTGCGCTGCTGCCATTTTCGGTAAAGTCCTGTTTGGCTTTTATTTACCTTCACCCCACTTTCTGTCTTGATCTGGTGTGCGAGAAGGAGAGGGCCACACAAAGTAGCAATGAACAAGTTAGAAACGGCTGAGCCCCATGCATATCCACACACACTTCCATACACTATCAGTCACTGAGAAATACTTGGGCTTAGCGGGTGGCCCCCCACAGAATTCAAACACGGGGCGTGCATTTTACTTACTTCCTGTTCATGACAGAGCTGCTGATTATTGTGGGAAGGAAGTTGTCACTTAATGCATGACAAGTATGGCCAGTACCGCCACACCCACAGCTTGGCATTCAATAACATCTCTCGAGTACGCTGTGTGTGATTGTGTGTGTGTGTGTGTGTGTGTGTGTGTGTGTGTGTGTGTGTGTGTGTGTGGTGTGCGGCATGTGCGTGTGTGTGTGTGTGTGTGTGTGTGTGTGTGTGTGTGTGAGAGAGCTGTCTCTTATACACATCTAGATGTGTATAAGAGACAGGCGTGTGCGTGTGTGTGTGTGTGTGTGTGTGAGAGAGAGAGAGAGAGAGAGAGAGAGAGAGAGAGAGAGAGAGAGAGAGAGAGAGAGAGAGAGAGAAAGATTCCTCAAATGTGGAAATCAACGAACCTTTCCAGCAGCAGTCATCTTCTCACCGGGTAGCAACCTCGTATACTTCTTCTTCCTCTGCCAGAGCCACATTGAAGCAACAACAGCAGCGCAAATAGTCAGTGGCGCATAGTCCCATTCGAGCAACGACAGTTGCTGAAGGTAGAAAGGGTTGAGCTACAACCACAGCCACTTCGGAAACCAATGGTAAAAAAAAAAGGAGAAAGAAAGACAAGGAACGAAAAAGGTGTGGGGACCAAGACGAAGAGGAAGAAGCACTAGACAGACGAAGAGGAAGAAGCACTAGAAAGACAAAGAGGAAGAAGCACTAGAAAGACAAAGCGGAAGAAGCACTAGAAAGATGGTGAGGAAGAAGCACTAGAAAGACAAAGAGGAAGAAGCACTAGAAAGACGAAGCGGAAGAAGCACTAGAAAGATGGAGAGGAAGAAGCACTAGAAAGATGAAGAAGAACCACAAGAAGAAGAAGAAGAAGAGAAGGAAGAAGAAGAAGAAGAAGAAGAAGAAGAAGAGGAAGAAAACGAAAAGACGAAGAAGAAGGTGGTGAATGTTCATGTGAAAGTTCCTACCTTATCCCAATGGTATGTAGCTCTCTTCTTGGCTACACCGGACGCTTCATCGGGTAGAATGTCTAGAACCGCTGCATCCATACTGTTCGGAGGATTCAGACAAGCATTCGAAGATTTAGACAACGTGTCAGCAATAAGTGGATTAGAAACACAGCAGCCCATCGTGTAGCAGAAAGTGGCCGTTGTGCAAGGGATGACAAGCATAAATTGTGAAATGGTCTACTAGGCTACCAGAGAAGCACGGGACCACTTGCCCAGCCAGGCCCAAAAAAAAAAAGAAAAAAAAAAAGAAAAAAAAAAAAGAAAAAAAAAGTAAAGAATTTCGATTTGACCCTGAGGAGAAAGTTGGTGATTGATTGTTTTGATTCACGGCTTCGTTGACATTGCTTTGGACATTCTGTGATGATGTTTCTGTTGTTCGGAAACAAAAAGAAAGTTAAAAGTTTCTGTTGTTTGTGTTCACTTCACTTGTCCAGGTTATCTTTTTTTCCACTTTGCATGATCATTTTAATCAGGGGTCAGGAAGGACCCTCTGGAAAAAGAAGTATTAAGTACCCTGCCCATAAGGCTGAAAGGTGCACTCATGAACGGCTGATAAACAGACCCGTGTTCGAGTCCTGCTAAGATAAGATGAATCAAATACATCTGAATTACCTCGGGGCGGCCAGTTTGATGATGATAGCTCAAGGCCGTCGCCTTTTTGAGGGAACAAAGTAAGTCAATTTACCTTGGATTGCCAAAACTTTCGCCGCCTGTTTTCCCGCTGATCGTCAATTCGCGCTCCACAAACTGGAAAGGGAGAGAGGAGAGGAGAAGAGAGAGATTGCAGACACTCAGGTCAGAACTCCAGGAATACGTACGTCCTTCAGCACAATAATGGATGAAAAAAGCCATGACACGACTGTCAGATCTCACAGAGAGGAAGTTTGCTTGAGTAGTAAATCAGTCTGCAGGCTCTCCACAATCGACAATCATTAATCTAGTTTTCTCAAACACCTAATGAGAATAATGTGCCTAGAAACCCCCCTCCCTTCCTCCCTTCCTCCCTTCCTCCCTCACTCCCTTTCTCTCCCCTGTCCACCTCTCCTCCCTCCGTCTCTTTCTCTCTCACTGCATCACGCACGCACGCACACACATGCACATGCACACGCACGCACACACATGCACACATGCACACATGCGCACACACACGCACACACACACACATACACACACACACCATATATGCTTGGAAAAATCCCTCCCTCCATCCCTCCCTCCCCAAGAAG